CGCGCCCGCCGTCCGCCGCTCTCGGGAGTAAAGTCCCGCCTGAGAGTTCGCAGATGTTCGCCTTTCCTTTCACGGCGAGTCAGTCCTGTCTGGAAAGGGAGCGGAGCCCTGCCGTGTCGTTCAGCCAGGGAAACGGAGAAGCGCTCGAAGTGAGCAGTAAAGGCAAACGGATACAACTCGTGGCTCGGGGGGAGGGGTTAAAAATGCAGCTGCGGTTCTGGCCGGCTGTTCGGCCTCGCTGCGGGTCCGTGGGAGGGGAGAGCTGTAATTAAAACTGCACAGGAGATGTGGTCTTACTGCCTGCTCAAGTCTAACGCTTCTGGTGTGCTTGGGAGAGTGTGTACCAGCACTCCCACTGTTTGTTTTGGACTTTTTTTCCTGGTTTATGTCATACTCTGGGTTTGTGAAGAGCAGTAAGTTAGCTTTTAATGGGAGACTGGCTTGTTTAAGTATGACAATGTGTGTGTTGTGCTGGCTTTTGCATCTGTGTGTTTAGGGCTTCAGTAGGATTTTCTGCTGTAACTGTGAAACTACATATGGATGCAAAGCAGTAGTGTTGGTTAAAGAAATCTAGAATATAGTTTTGAGCTGATGCTTGAAAATGAATTTTTTTTTTTGAAAGTAATGGTCATTCTGGATTTAAAATGAGCACTGCATATGGTATTCTGTCATGATGCAAAGTAGAAAGTGTAGAAGAGGACGGTGGGTGAAACAGCTGTGTGACAGGTAAGAAATTGGGTGTTCCTTGGAGGAATTAACCAGGGAAGAAAAAAGACTTTATACTGAAGTTTAACGGGTAGCCTAGCTTACTAGGCAGACCACATAAAAGCTTGTTCTCCCTTCTGTTTTGTCAGGTGTAAATGGTCAGTTGCTTAATCACTGTCATACATCCCTCTCCCTGAATACGTAACAGGTGAAATGCCTGCCCTGGGAAGACAGAGGGAAGTGCTTGATGTGTGACTCCGTTACCTTCATTCAGATTCTCAGATAGAAGGATTTGCTCTATTCTGTCTTAAAAGGACCTGCTTGATTTTAGCTGTGCCCTGAAAAATAGAAATGTATCCTTTCCTCTTGCTGCTTGGCTTTTTTTCTTTGTTTAAAGAGCTACCAGGTGAGACACTTGGTAAAGTAGTTCCCTCTTCTGTCGTCTCTGTGGCTGTCTCTCGTGGGTGAAGTAAGGCCTGATTTGCCGTGTTGTCTGAGGGAATGATACCGGCTGATTTCCATGCCGACTCTTACAAACGTGCCAGTCTCCTATACAGGTAGCTGCTGTCAAAAATGAGTGATGCTGTTGAGTAAATACTTCAGGGATCCACAGAGGGATCCCCCCTCCCCGTTGTTCGCTTGTCAACTGGACAAAGCAGCTACTCAGAGAGGAGTTAGTCTTGGAGGAGGTACAAGGCAGAACTTGTAACACGCAGACTTGGCTGCGTTTTTAGAGAGAGTAACAGAAGCTCTTGGAGAAACACACTTCTAACTCTGCTTTCAGGAGGGCTTTCTGGGCTTTCAGAACTAATTATTGCAATGCTGGTTCCTTGCAAGTGTTTAGTTTTATTCTTTTAATGGCCGTTAATCATCAGCACTAATTTAGGAGGGAAAGCAAAGCAGTGTATTTAGAAATACAGAATGAGACTTGTTAATGGGGAAAGCTTTCCTGCCTGCCAAAATCTGATCAGTAAAAATGTAGGAACTACTGCTGTAGGCTTTCAACAGGAATGCAAGCTTTTCCAGTTTTTATAAGATGGTGGCCCATTCCAGAACAGGGAACGACTGCAGGATGTGGAGGGGAGGAAACTGTCCTCCTCGAAACAAAGCTGTCCCCCTGCATCCATTACTTAAAAATGAGTACCCCCCCCATCCAGTAACATGAGTGCTTTATGTCACCATGCAAGTCCCCAGGCCCGCAGATACTTACAAGTGAAGTAATTTACTCCCATATGCTCTAAAATTGCTCCCTAGTGTTTGTATAAACATTACCTGTTAATATGTCTTCATTACAGGTTTTTACGTGCTGTTTTACCCAGCTTGTCTCCTACGTACACGCAGGCTCCTTGGGGATGAGTTTTGCAGTGCTGCCGGGCCAGGTCGCGGGGCCCGTTCTGGGCTGGAGGATAAAGCCCTGCTTGAGTCTTACGTGGGTTGATGTTGCCCATGTTGGCCCTATGGATGCTGGCTAAACCACTTGAATGATGACTCGGTGGATAATGAGTTCTTAAGTACTGACCTGTTTTAGTCTCCTAAAATAATTTAAATAAAAAAGAATAGTTATACCTGTTTTTCCTGCATGGTTTTATACAAAGTCAGGCAACTGACTTCAGGGAAAGCTTTGAGTAAGCACTTCAAAACATAGTTTGTTGAACGTGTAAACTAACTTTGCACTGTTGTGGGTAGACAATACAGGTATGCTTGTAGATAGGGATATTTTGTTCTATATTCAGTTTAATTCACTGAAATAACTGTTAGTAAAGAAATAATTTTGGAGTCGAAAAACATCAAAGCTTTCAGTCTGCAAATAAAAAAAAAAATAGAAATGCAGATTTTTACTGATTTGTGGTGTACCTGCACACCATTAATTCATTAGTAGGAGATAATAGAACAGTGATAGTTAAGAGTAATTTTATTTCTGTTTCCATCATATTTAATACAGCTTTAGTTTAAGTAAGAAAAACCCAAGTTTAGTGTTAGTTGTCTACAGCTGACTTCATTTTATAATGCAAGTTTCTATTCAGAAGCAGCTTGACATAAACCAGAATTAAAGAATTTATTGCTGAAGAAATAGAAAGTAAGAAATAGTTCTTAGTGTAATAAATTGTATAAGTAGAGAATTTGAGTAAATGTGTCCTCAGATTCCCGGCTGCTTAAGCAATTTATACATAGTGTGTCTTTCTAGTTACAAAAAGAGAGTACTGTATATAATATAAATGCTGTGTTTAGCTTCAGCTTATGTTGTCTAGAGGATTATAAAGCAACAAGGAACCAATAAAGAAAATAAAAAAGATATAATGCAAAGCAAGGTTACATGATTTAAATCAAAGTTTCTTCTATAATAGTTTTGCTGATACGGATCAATCAACCCTGCTCAGGTGCCTCCAACTTGCAGGACAGCAGGTGGGAAGGAGATGCTCCCGGTTCCCTCCTAAGGAGGTCTGAGAGCAGCAGGGTTTCTCCCTGCAGCCTGAGGAGCCTCCAAGAATGGGCCACCAGCACTGGCAGAAAAGGGTGGGTTTACAACCTAGCTGTCCCCAGCTGGCTTGGCTAATCTTGGACCTTGGACTGAGAAGCTGATCATTTGGATTTCTTCTGCTCTGAAGATTGGATTTTAGGGTATATTCACAATAGATGCTCTGAAATTCCCAATAGCAAAGCAAAATATAGATTGTTTCTTTTTTTTTTTTTTTTTTCTTTTTAGCAAGGACTGCTGAGTCAGAATTGCCTGTGAGCTTTCTTCAGTTTGGGAAGCTCTCAGGGCATCAAGAAAAGAAAGCTGCTACACTATTCAGTGCAGCAAGGCTTGCTTACTTGGCTTGTGCCGTGAAACTTTACTGAAGTAGTAGTTTTAATAATATTGGAAATGCTGCTGATTTTTCTTGGAATCCTAATATAACTTAATATGCTGTGTTCAAATTGATCCTGCCGATGTTTTGCTGTTATTCCTACTGTTTTCTAAATAATAGAGTGTCTAGTAGACCTCTAGGAGAGGATGTGTGTGAGTAACAATCTAATTCTTAGTTTAGATCAGAAGCTACAAGTGAAATTAATTTGCCTTCTGGAAGAGAATGAGAAGGAACAAGAGCCTGAAAATCAGGAAGCCCAAGAAATGCTACCCTCCATTTTTTTCTCTTTTTAAGTGTTCTGAAAAGGCAATCTTGGCTTTTTTCCTGGTCCGTTTTAGGGTATATCACACTCATTTATGAGGATATTTTGTTCCAGCTGTACTGACTCGCCTCTTTCCTTTATTCCTCACAGCTTCCAGCAAAGCTGAGCACCTTTTGGTGTCTTTAATCCCTCAGTAAATTACTTGCATTTTAGCTGAATAAATCAGGATTTGTAACCTGGCATTTTAACACTGTCTGAAGCCCAGTAAACCTTGAAGTTTATTAAACCTGTCTTACTTTAAGCCCATCTTCTAAGATGGTAAATTATTTGAGGAGGCAAATAAACAGTGGTAGTATCCTATGGTGTACAACCCTTATTTGTGCCAGTGCATTTACTTCCAATAACCCTTTTTGTAAGTGAATTGGAATACTTGGATACTGTATCAGGAATCAGAGAGTTAGTAGAGGACTAGTGTCGGGGAAGAATTGGGAATCATTGAGGAGAGAAGGCTCAAATGCTGCAGTTTCACTTGTAGAGGAATCTTCTTGAAGGCATTGAGGCTGTGGGTAGAGCTGGAGGGACAGACCCTCGCTTGTCTCCCAGGCCGGATGCCGGCAATGCAGCAAAGAGAAAGTTCAGATTTCTGCCAGAGCTGGATTTTGGTGCCCGAGTTCGCACAATGCCCCTGTCAGAGAACACTGGGTTGCTGCGCAGTGTGTTTCTCCAGGTCAGTTTTTCTTCAGGGAAAAAAATATTGTTACCAATTGACAGCTTTCAGGTAGGTGCAGATGACCACAAAACGGCGAGCCGTTGAAGCGCGCTGTTTTCCATGTTCCAGTCACTCCCCACCGTCCCCCGCGGGGGTCTGGCGATGACCGAGGAATACACGCTCAGCATTTGAAATGATGTCAGTCCTGCGCTGAAACCCCTCTGTTACTCAGCAGTTACATTCCATTTGGAGCTGTTCGCTTTTACCCTTCATCCTTCCGTTTCTTTTCCTGCACGCCAGGCCTGAATTGCACCCACTCTGCTTAGACATCCCCAATTTGATGGGAGAGAGATGGAATACAGTCTGGCTCACACGGCTTTTATGTGGCTGGGCAGATGTAGTAGGGCAGTGTCCTCTGAACATTATAGGTGCTTAGTAAGGAGTAGGGCTTTCCATAGGGAAATTCCTGGCCATGTATATTGCAGCTTACCAAGGTTTTTCTTTTGAATCATTTATGCCTTTCTGAATTAATTTCTTATGAGTATCTACTTTCAGGTGCATGTCGACCTTCAGATTTAACAAGCCAAGCCCGATGAGGGAGCTGAGCTTGCTGTTTTGTACGGGTCCTGCCCTCTGCAATTCAAAACAGAACTTACAGGCTCCAGTCAAAAACTGCTTTCCTTTGCTGAAAAACTCTCTGGAAATTGGTGCTATTAGCTGTCTTCATGTGGTTAACACGTTTTGGGCCAAACCAATCGCAAAAATATTAGGAAATCCTGCGGGATCAGGGAAAACTCCAGGTCCCATCAGAGATGGATGGTATAACTATGGGTTTGTTTGGGTTTTTGCCATATATATATATGTATATATGTATATGGGGCACTGCAGTTTAACTTTATTTACTTAACATTTGATGGTCTAAAATACATCATAGCCTGCTTTTTTGGAAGGCCACTATAAAGAAACAGTCTTTTATGTGCACTAGAGGTGTTTCTGAGAACACAAAAGCAGCAGTTCGGCTCTGGGTTTCTCAAGTAGAAATACTTTTAAGGGAAAAGTCAGGCAAAGCACCTCTTTCTTCAGAGATCAGCTCACAAAGCTGCAGGACGGTTCCAGTTTGTAATTTCCCATCTTCCTGAATATAGAAGCTGCAGCGTTTCTGAAAAACCTCTGCTCTAAGGGGATATTGGAACATTTTTACTGTGCCACCTAATAAATACTTAACGTTTCAAAATAAAATGGTTTAAAACACTTCTTAAAGCTGAAGGAGCTGAGGTTGCGTATGGTGTACAGAGGTTGACTAGTGACTTAACTAAAGTTTTAGTAGAAACACTGTTAATTCAGTTACAGCTTGGCTCTATATATATATTTTTTTTTTTTTTTTTTCAATTAGAAGCCTTTACAGCTTAACTGTTCAAGTTGAAATACTAATGCATGGCAATGACCGAGGGGAAGAAAATATCTCAGCCTTGGTTTTGTCAGTATATTTGTCAGTGGGTTTTACTTTGGACTAGCCCTAATTTGGTGCTGTGAACCACATGCCTATCTGCAGTGACATACATCACAAAATTAAGGTTTAGTTCTATTTGAATGGATGTCAGTTCCAGCACTTTGAGACAGCTGCAGGACACAATGCAGTCCTTCAAACAAGAAGTGGATTGGGAGAATCCACTCTCAAACACGTTCTTGATCCAAGTTAGAATAGTGTAGTCGCATCTACATAGTATTTGAGAATCCAGTTGGAGAAGCTGGACAAACAGCATGCACACGGCTTTTCATTAGACAGCTCTGATGCAAGGAATAGGGGCTCATCAGAGAATTTTTGTTTTATTACGGTGTCGACCTTTTGGCTACTGCTTTGTGAGAGTTTTGGGCCTGTAGAGGTTGTCCAGAGTTTCTGTGAGCTAGACTTCTGTCTGTCACTAACTGAAGCACTGTGAAGAGAGAGTAAAAACCTGTATTGCCTTCCATTCTCAGGGCAGTGCGCATGTAAGTGCATGTGTTGGTGGTACCAAGATTTCAGCCAAAAATTAATTTTGGCTAAAGTATCTGAAAGCTTCTTCCCAACTCAAAAGTTGCTGGCTTTGGACGTGTGAATGCTTCTCTTTGTGCCTGTACAGCATCATCACTGTAATCAAAAACATATGTCTTTTCCAGGGAGAGCTTTTGATAGGCAGTAACGGAACAGGATTTTCGTGTACAGATGTCCTGTGAAGTTGCAGGTTTGGGGAGAAGAGCCTACTCGTGCATAGTTACGGAGGCACACTCCCAGCTACTGAAAATGACAAAGCTAAGCTGAACTAAACAGCCCCTTTCTTTTTCAGTTAAACCTTTTGGGTGTTTTTCGTGTTTATTTCGAGGAGCTCTGTAACCAAATATCTTACTTTTATTAGATCTTAACAGTTTCCTCTCTACATTTACTGGACCATTGGTCTGCTGCTGTAGTACCAATGAGGTGAGCTCACTGAAGCTGTTGTCATGGAAATTTGGATGGTTAACACTGAATATTTCAGCTGGTTTTGTTTCTTTGGACCTTTTTATAGCTTTCAATCTCCTCAAATGCAAGCCATGGAAAAGGAGATTTGTAGAAGTGCTTTGGAGTTTTAGAGGATTATGTACAAGAGGCCGGGCTCTAAAACTCTCATGGTAGTTACCCAGAACCTGAACCAAAAATACGTGCTGAAATTTCAGATTTTGGGTAAATCCTG